TAGATAGTCCTACCAATTGGACGGGGTCAAGATGGAAGGTAGGGGTAAGCAAGAAAAATCGAACAGACTGAAACTTAACCAAAAATTCGATTAACCAAATTGGTTTGTTTGGTATTTTAAAAAAACTGAAGGTATCGGTTCGGTTTCGATTAACCAAAATAGAAAACCGGTAGTTGACCAAACTGACCGGTATACATATATTTATATATATTTTATATATATTTATGTATATTATATATATTATATTCTCTATACAATATAAATTAATAAATATGCATTATATAAATATATATACTTATAATATATAATATATTATTTATTATTAAAATATAATATTTTTTATATATTTCTAGTGGTTTATTATATATTTATATATTTTTCTATAATATATATTATAATTAATAAAAAATCAACAAACTGAACTGATGATTAACCGGTTGGCTTTGATTCAGTTTCGATTACCAGTTTTCCAAAAATAGGTAACCCCAGTTCGATTTCAAAAATAAGCCCATGGTTCGGTTAACCGAACTGTGAACACCCCTAGTGGAAGGACGAAGTTGCACACTGAGATCTGCAACCATAGGAAGAGTCAGAGGCCCGAGGAGTTATTCCCCGAGTAGGCACTCCAACGCTTAAGTCAGTAAGGAAACAAGGTTGGTCGAGACGAGCTGATTGGAATGATGCTAGTTCCAAGCCAAAGAGATGATGTGAAAGGGCACTAAGTGAGTAGAGAGCTAAAAGTCCTTTAACTCAAGTGGGGAGTGCCTATTTATAGCCAAGCATTTGTGTTCTAGTCGAATAAGGCTTTCGAGATTGTCGGGATGAGGTTATCCATCGAGGTCTTCGGGGGGTTTCCCTTTCCTCGGTAGAGTCAGCTTCCTTGTCTGTGTGAAACACTCCTTCTGTCTCACTCTTCCGTCATGCAATTTTGGTCAACAATGCTGACGTGATTCGAAGAGGGAGGCCATGGAACTCGCTACATGGCATCCTTGGCTAGCTCGACAACCACCCGAGTAGATGGTACTTTGAACATCTTCTACATAAATTGATATTTTTAAAAGATTTTGAATTCACAGTCACAAAAAAGTCACAGAGAATGCAATCCAAACAACAAGCTCATTGGCTTGTGTAGATAAAAGGATATTTTTTTTACCAGAAGAGCACCTTGAATGAGATATATGCAACTGTAACTCTTAATGCCCCGTTCGCTTTTCGGTAAGTCACTTACCCAAGTAAATGCACTTACCTGAGTAAGTGTTTCCTAGGAAAGACTTACCCAGGTAAGTGCATTTGCCCATGTTCTTTTATTTCTCATGTAAATAAGGCAATGACCATCTTAGTCATAAAAATTCTATTATTAAAAGGGGTACTTTTGTCCCATCCAAGTATTGGCAACTTTCCCCTAAGTGGGAAAGTAATTTGCCCACCTAAGAGATGAGTATCACTTACCTAGGTAAATGATACCCAGGAAAATAAACTTTCACTAGTCCACACATAAATCTGAAAAATGAGCATGGGTTTCTTGGTCATTGGGAATCAAAATCCCATTGACCAACTTTCCCCCCTCTCAAAATCCAAAAAAAGAATGCCCCATAAGTGATTATAATAAATTTTATCGATAATCATTTTTATTGAAAGTAGGAATTCCCCTTTTTATACCGGGAAAAAACAAAAATAACTATATACTATCATAGAAATTTCAAGAAAAAAAGGTAAAGTACAAGCAGCCACCCTATTCAAGAAAAGAAAAAAAAGGGGGATAAGTAGACTGCACAAATTACAGCCCCCTCCTAGTCTACTAGTAGCCCCCTATAAATCGTATCCAGCCCATGAATTTGGCATCAATCCACACTCAAGATTCATCCCACCTGTACGGTGGGGCTAAGATTTCTGAGGTGGACTGAACAATAAAAACCCCCAAAAAAAAGGTAAAGTACAAACAACCACCCTACAAAACATCGCAGCCATGCATTTAGAACATCTCCCCATGAATAACGGCATACAAGTACAAGGAGATGTTCTCAATGTGACTGCAATTTGCTGTAGGGCTGGTGTGGGGAGCAAACCCGAGTTTGGGTAGTGATACTTGGGCCCCTGTTGCTTCATATAGAGACCCCTAGGTAGTGTTTGGGAGTGCTAATTATTGGCAGTTATAAATGGGGTTTTAAAACAAGTGCTTATTAAATAAGCAATTTATGAATGTTTGGTGAAAAGGCACTTCTTTCAAATAGGGGATGTTATAGGTATTTTGATAATTAGGTGGTACGCCAACATGGGCCAGAAAGACAAAATGCGATTCTTTCAAATGCAAGTTGATGAAAAGCGTAACTTTTTGCTTCTTTGAAATGGGCCTTTTTTTGGGTGAAAAAGAGCTCATTGGGCTTTTTCTTGCCAAATTCCCAGGTGCTTTTGGAATCTTTTAAGTGTTTATTTCAATAAACACTTGTAAAAAATACTCCCAAACGCCTATCCTGGATTCCAGCTTTTTGTCCCCACCCTCATGTACATGCTTAGACATTTATGAAACCCCAAACTATCATTCTATTATTTTGAGGCTAATTTTTCCTACTAAATTTATTTTGTCTAAAATTCTATCTCTTACCTATTTCTCTCATCTTTCCCTCCCTAAGAAGAATTGATCTTAGAGAATGGTGAATTGTATTTCTTCCTCATCAGGGTTTGGAAACACAGTAACCCAAAAAAAAAACCCTGACATACTATGCTTTATCATGCCCATTTGCATCATTTTGATAGCTTTTTCTCTTAGCGCATTGAATTTTGGATGGACAATTTAATAGTTTTATCTTATTCGTCAAGTCCTGAAATGCAGGAGTCCTGATGCAGGAGTCCTGAAATTCAGGGGATCTTTGTCACAACATTGTGGGGCTAAGGGCCTATTCGATTCCTCTAACTTTTATCTCTTAAAATGAATCTTTTAATTAAGAGAAAATTAGTTTTTCATTTCCTCTTATCTCTTAAAGTGCAATCATACAATTTTTAATTTTCCAATGATATCTCAAAAAGATAAATAAAAACTCTCATATATAAAGTCAAAATGAACATTTGATAGTTTTCAGAATTCAGAACAACATTCTCTGTATTCAAAATTCGAAGAAAAGAAAAATTCGCCAATACCAATATACCTCTTAATATAATTATTACACTACGAACATGCCCTAAGTGTCATGTCACCCTCCCATAAATTCAGAGTGGCTGTATATAATGAATTGGGAGCCCACCAACTTGATCAAACACTACACATCTTACCATGAGACTGGGGCCCACCATAAAAATAGGACCCGCCATATACTAGATGTCTGGTGTCAGATCATGTTGGTAGGTTTTTTTTGCAGTCGACTCGTAATGTAATTTACCCAGAACTGAATTCTCTGCTGGTTCTTTAGCGCATTTCACTGCTCAAACACGAGGCCATTTGAAATTCTGAAGTGTTATCTTCTTAGTTCTTACATGCTTTAATTACTGAGGCAATTGATTCCGTCAGTCCCTGACCAGATGGACATTGCCTCGTCCTTCAAGCTGTATTTATTCCAACCTAAAGGAATCGAGATGTTTTTGACTTCATCATCAAAAAAATAATACAAAATGTTTTTGACTTTTTGCCACTTCTCAGAAGAAATCCTTCTTTTTTCCGCCCCCTTCGTAACGAAACAAACGCAGCCTCATTATCCAATGAAGAGAAGAAGATAAGTAGATAACACATGTAAAGATGCAAATATAAATGTGTAAAAAGATTTCGTAAATGAACAGTCACCAACAGGAAATTGTAACCCCTATATGAAAAATGCAAGTCCCATTTGTTTCTTCCAAATTTCGAGAATTCAACCACTTGTTTCGTCCAAATTTCGGGCATAATGTTTAAGTAACATAAACCAATAGTAGACGCATACATTAATAAAATATGTATGAAAGGAAGGTAGTCAGGCCGAAGCCTCCTTATTCAGACGCATGACGCTCTAATTTTTTAGAAAACAGTATTTTAGAAGTGTTTAATTGTGATGATGTTCGGAAGTGTATGCGTTTTTAGGAACCAATTTTCAAGAAAAAACGTCCGTGCTTCTAAGACCCGTTTTTCATAAAAAAACGTTTCTATCACTTTCTATTACATAGACAGTGAGCAATATTATGCTGTTTGGTAAGGTGATTTTTATCACCAATTTTCATGTATGTGCTGACAGGTAAGCACCACATAGGATATACATCACTCAACCATTGGGGGAAACGGTTCACCAATGCATGAAACACCAAATTTTTCAATAAACGCCTGATTTGACGTTTCATGCATCAGTGGGGTCCCAATTTACGAGATATGCCCAATTTTTCAATAAACGCCTGAACCAAACATTTACATATATGGGTGTTTGTTGAAACACCTATATGAATCCAACATGGCACTGTTTTTTTGAAAAACAGCCACGATTCCAAACATTCCCTAAATTTTTAAATAAAATTCAAAATTCAATTCACTTTTTCAAAATATTTAAATTAATAAATACATGTTCAACCGAATATAAAACATACATGGTGAGACCCATTAAAACTACTACAAATACACAGATCAAAATTTTTAATATAGAATATTTAAAAAATTGAAATAATTCAGACCCATACTTAGTACGGGGTCATGACTACTATACATTAATAAAATAATTAAAATTCATCAAAAAAAGGCATTCCAGATCAGGGGCCTGAAATGGCTGAAATCAAGGTTCATAATTTAGTTATTAAAGGCCGATACGTACCATATTGGAGGGTCACCGTGACACTTATTTTAAGAATTTTTTGTAAAGCATTTTTAATTTTGTTTTATATGTTATATACCCTTATTTTCCATACCCCCTGAAATTTTGAAACGAAAAAAGAAAAAAACTAAAAAAAATATAATGCACAATGTTCAAAATCCCAATGTTAAATTTTACCAGAAGGTCCTTCCTACCAATGAATAAGGAGCAGTCAGTCACTGCTATTAAAAGCTAAATTGGTTGGACCATGTAAAGAAGTTGCGTATTTTATTGTAAAAAGCTCAAATAAAAGGCAACCAATGTGTTCAGGCAGTAACAATGAATCCTGGCGCATTGCACTACCCACATTGATCATGTACAAGTATCACTCTCTAGGTCCATCAAGGGAACAGAGAAGATAGATTGATGGGTTCTCCAGAATGGTAAGCTCATCAGCAATTCCTGCCTTAACTTGCGGGAGTAACTCTCCCAAGCTTCAAGTGCAGCAGTGAAGCCTGCCCAGTGGAAGGAAGACTGTCTGGCCTCGTCACAAGACACGCTGCCAAAAACTGTCCTTGCAATTTGGATGTCACCTAGTGGTATAGGCTTCAAGCTGTTGTTTTTCTTCAATTGTAATTGGGAAAGTGATACAACATTACCACTTCCTCTTCCAACTGTGGCTTCTTGATATTCAGACGCTTTCCAGCTATAAAACTGCAGCACCTATTCAACATAGAGAGTGAAAGGTTACTGGTTCAACCATTTGGGTTGAATGGCCAGACCATCAAAACATCTCAACCCTTAGATATTAGTGCATCTTTAAATATATGCATATTTGTATGTATATGAATATGTATGCTATGATATATGATTTTTTTTGGTATTTGGTATGATATATGATGGAGTAAGAGAATTGGAGGGAAGGAAGAAAAGCCAGGTCACCATCACCACCACCAATGTTGCTCTACTTAGGTCGCCAATCTCAAGGTCTCTGGCTCTCACAGGTGACAAAGATCATCCATCTCTGTCTCTCTCTAATCTCTTCTTTCTCTATCTGTTTCTCCCTTTATGTTACAATAATATATAATTTAACATATTTATAAATAAGTATATATATCTATATATAGAATATAATTTAAATTTTTATTATGAAATTTGAAAGACGTTACAACTTACAAGTTGAAGGGGTAGAAGAGCTAGGGTCAAACCAAAAAGGACATGAATCAAAGTAATAAGAAATGATTTGAGCACTCATAATTTAATAATCGACATGGCATTAAACAGAACAAAATGATGAAACAAGATTTATGTTAGCCTACACCATACACTTGGGATAAGGCCTAGATGATGATAGTGATGATTTTGAAATTTGAAAATCTTGATCTTTTCAAACCATGACCCATGAACAGTTTGAACATTTCACTGGTTTAACCGTCCATGTTGACAGTTTTTTTATCAAATCAACGTGTTTTAAGATTTTCTGGGTATGGGGTATAACAGACCCGCCATTGTCTCTGGGTCAACAATCTGGGTGAACAACAGGTTGCAAAAAATGCTTAAAAGTATTACAGCAGATCTACAAGCATTATAGAGCTCTCTCTGTCATTACAGCCACTGTCACCACCACCAAAAACCACAACAGCAAGGCCCTATGCATGTTTAGCCATATCAGGATTTATATCAGTATCCTAAATTTGTATGAGCATCATTTTGTCTGGTAAATGATAAAAATTGCATTGATGATAGAAAGAGTATACAGTATATATTTTTAATGAGATATAATTGCATGCATCTCCCCCACAGCTCCCGATAGAGCCCCAAATAATAAAACATAAGTTTCGTTTTTTTTATAGGAAACAGTAACTTTCATTAAACTTAACATGAGAAGTAATAAGGCTGTCACCTTCACAGACATAAGGTGACTCCTCATCATATAATCAACTTACAAACAAGCCCAGAATAAAGTCTCCCGATTTACCCCTTGCTTTGCTAAAGTCTCAGCCAAAGCATTTGCTTACCTCCTAGTCCATTTAAGTTGTGCTCCTAGCTCCCTTGTTAGGTTCAATATTTCCCTTACAGTTACAGGTTGTCTAAGGGACCAAGTACCCAAACTTTTTGTTTGCATCCAACTGCATCTCTTTGATCTGTCTTGTGGTCTTTGTGGCATGGTGCCTGAAACAACCAACCACCTGAGCTTACACTGTTCCATCACTTCTAAGGTGTGGGATCAGTTTCTCAATGCACTTGGGATCAGTTGGGTTATGCCAAGTTCAGTCAGAGACTTAGGTGGCGTTTGATAAATCTGAAAAGTGTCTGAAATCTGAAAAGAGGCATAAATGCTTTTCTACTTTTTAGAAGATCTGAATCCATAAGTTTGTTTGTGTTGGATCAACCCTTCACCATCTGAAATTTACTGATTTTACTATTTTACCCCTAAAACATACTATTCGGAAATGTTGAATTCAATTTGTATTATCTCAAAAAATAATTTTCAACCTCAAAATAATATACAAATAAAAAATAATAAATTATTAATTATTAATTAATAAATGAAACGATTAAAATTAAACAAATAATTAATGACTATAAAAGTATTAAAATAATTAATAATTTACACACAAAAATTAAAATAACTTTTAAAAATTAATGAAATAATTAAAAATTACTAGTTAATAAAAATAATTAATGTTTAATAAAAAATATTAAAATAATTAATAATTAATAAAAATATTATTATTATTCACCGAACCACCACTGCTGCGTGTTGCAGCGGCGGTGGCAGTGGTGGGAAGACAAGGGAGGGAGAGAGAGAGAGAGAGAGAAGACGGGGAGAGAGCAAGAGAGAGGGGACAGGTGGAGAGAGAGATATAGCCACCGCTGCAAGTTGCAG